ATTGAGTATGTAATATTGAATCCCAGTGAGCCTATTGAATCGAATAATTATGTAAGTATCTAGTTAATAATCGAAGGTAGATTTTTTCAGGGTTGAATATTGTAGGAACCCATTATGGTTTTTATTTACTATAATATATTTATAGTAAATAAAATATATATATACATATATATATAGTAGGAAACGTACTGTTAGGCTGGACCTCAGAGGAGACTTTAAAAGAGATTAGAATTGATCTAGTAAGACTTTAATGATTTTACAGAGTTTGGAACGAGGATTAGAAAACGTATGGCTCTTAGGGCTGCCGAAATAAAACTGACGAGAATCCTAAGTCCGGGACCTGGCAACGGTTGGTTATCTTAATGAGTTAGTATCTGGAATTGCTGCTTATCTCTGTATTTGATATCATGAACAGTACCGGGAAGTGCGGATGCGCACTTCTAATGTTTTATTTATGTTTAACGGACATCGCAAGGTTATATACGTAGGTTTTTACGGGACTCATCTACTACTTCTGTAACTAAAAAGAAGCTAATATAAACTATGTACCTACTACCTACCTATGTCATGCAATACACTAGTGAAACTACCTCACAGCTTCGCACAAAAAAAAAAACAAATAAAAAAAGAAAGCTTTTCATATAAATATAGTAAATTGTAATCCTGTTCCTAATTTAATGTTAATATTTTGTTTTCATTTCATTGGTATTCATAATGTTATTTTAGATATTAATCGTCTAAAGAAAAACAACGAGAAAATATAAAGAAAGAAACTCTTAAAAATATTTAAATTCTCAAAATAAATTATTTTAAAATGCATGCACGTTACCCCCCTTCCCCGCTCTTTACAACCGTTCGAACACAATTATACCAGACAGTACACCCCCACCCCCCGAACCCCGCACCGCGAGCGCTCGCGTCGCGTAGCGCTAGCGTCTTCAGTACTCAAAGTGATCAGGAGTGGACTGCACGTCGATTTTAACAAAAAATACTAGGTAATTATTTACTAATTTAACTTATAATTCATTACAATATTTTACATCTATTCTCTTTATGTTGCAATATTATCAATATCAACAGTTTTACAATGTTATTTTAGCTGTTAAAGCAAATCTTTGTTTGTGGGTTTTTTCCGCTTTGAAACCGGTTTTATCCGGCGTGCATTGGAGTTCATTCATCATCCGGAGTTCATTGTTGTCGGATTATGTTGAACGAATGGAGTTTTCTAGCTGTATAAAGTGTTGCAGGACAATACTAGACTTAAAGGAATACAACCCCCTCCTTTCCCGTGCATTTTACCCCCCCCCCCCCCCCCCCCCTTTCTGTATACTTAGTATTTTATAGTGACAGGTTGGGCTTTAGCCTTTCTTTACTGTAAAATGTTAGCGTACCTATCTAGGTATGTAAACATATTTTATAAACAAGGTCATGTAACAAGGTCTAGCTATTGGGGTAATGATCGAAAGCGCGATTACCAAACTTGACATTTCGGGTTCGATTCCTGGCTGACTCATATTTATTATTATAATTGTACTTTTTCTTCTCTAGTTTTTTTCGTGTCATTTACAGTCAGATTCATATACCCTATGTATGGTAACAGTAATTATAGGATTTGTGGGTTTTATATTAAATGCGTGCATTGTAAACTTCTGCCTGGATACCTTCTGATAATGATAATATTATATCTTCTATGTATCCTTGCTACTATTGGTGAACTACTAATTCGATTGTCAAAAGTAATACGAGTACTTCTACTTTAAAACTGGTTTTATCTAGATTATAGATACATCTCGTTATAAATAGTGTTGTCCCTCTTTTACAGAACTTGAAAAATGAGTAAGGAGATGAGTCAAGAGCGTCATGATGAACTGTATGACCGACTGGCAATATCCAAGCATGTAATAAATGAAATAAAAAACGGTGGAAATCCTATCCCAAATGATCTCAATGAGCAACTTACAGATGCCGTGTGCCAATACACAGGTGTAAAAGAAGAAACAGTAAAAGAAGCTTTGAACTACAATAAAAAGAAAACATTCACTGATTTGTACATATTTTCTGAAGAATCACTACATTGTTTCTTTAACCCATCAGCATGTTTTCTGCGCTTCGAAGATGTAAGACAAATAATCTTTGACCTCTATGTAAACCAACTACAAATACCTAATAAGAATTCAATATTCCAATCCTTGGTGAAATTAGAACGGTACAAAGACTACTTCGTATCGAATCTAGAAACCGACATGTACTACATCGGATTCATATGGAGACGACTTCCGAACTCCAAGAAATATATCGTAGTAGAAAAATCAGCACAATTCATGAGAAGGATGAAGTATTTGCAGCGTATGAATGAATATAGAAGTAATAATCGAGTGCTCGTCCATGTTGAAAAATCTTCCATCAAACTTAATAATTTGCCTGCGTCCTTTGAAATAATGTTGGCAGTCTGCCCTCAACTAGGCCTGATCGATTTGACTCTTGTAACACAAACCATGGAAAATTGGCTCAAAACTATAATTCACGGGATACCTTCGAACTCAGTGTTTGTCATTCAACTACCACCGGCTACCGAGGAAACAATTGACTGTAATCCAAAAATTAATAGTCCAAAGAAGGATCTGATTAAATGGTTGGAATCATATGGAATTCCTCACGACCCCAACCAACATAGTGCTGAACTGTATGCTCTAATAACGAAATACAAATGTTTTTATCCGTGTGGTTATAAATTCATTGCTTTTTTGGAAGCTGCTGGTCACGAGGTGGTGGTGCGTCCTTCTGAACTGAATGATAGGTACTTCGATTTGTCCTCTGTTTCTTTAGACAATTTCTTCAGTTCATCCAGCAAGAAGGTCTCTCAGTCAGTAAAGAAGTCTTCAGTACAAACAACAATCCAACGTAAGTTCTCTGAGTATAGTTTATTGAAATGGTTAAAGGAAGATCGGAAACTGGCCGATAGAGAAATGCAGATATATGAAGAAGATCAGAAACTAGAGTTGGTTCTAGATAATCTTATGGATAAAATCAATGACGGATGTATGAGTGAAGCAGATTTTGATGAATGCGATGGCAAAGAGTGTGATCTTAGTATATATGATCGTCTTCTTATGCCTAAAAAAACATATAAGTAACTGTGAATTTCTTTGTAATAAGTATTGGATGTAATGTGTACCATTTTATTCTGATTAATTACTTGTAATAAAAATTTTGTCATACATATATCTGTCTAGTTTTATTTCTTCATTAACAGTATTGGCTGGTTATAAGTGGTTATGACTTAAGAACTTCAGTTTTGTGCACATTTTTGAAATACATTAATAAAGTATTTGTTAAACTTGTTCTTTCATCTTTTTACCTTTATTCCAAGTTTCCGTATTTGGCTCACACGAATATTCATGAAATAGTTTGGCTTCATGGGTGGCGCTGGCCACTTAACCTTAGGTGATCTGACCATGGTACGGAGCGAGGGGGCTGGGAAGCCGTCTCCTTCTGCGAAGCAGTCATGCTAGCTAAGGAGGAGGCGGAACGCGTGAGGGAACGAACCTCCTCACGATCCGGCCGTCGCTAGAGACACACCGGGCGTCGGGGATCGCGAGACGATCTCCGGCCACCGTAAGCATGGGCCCGCGGACGGCGAGCACGGGTGACTCGCCGCCCAAGCGTACGGCGCGTCGCGTTCCGCGCGTTAAGAAGCCATCAGACCACCACAGATGGGGCAGGAGTAGGAACGGGGTGCTCTCGCCTCACTCGGGCGGGAGAAGTCATTTAATGATTTTCCCCCCTTAATAAAAAAAAAACTAGCGATTTTTAGTTAATTTAGTATGTTTCACGATAATTATTTTATTAATTGGTAACGTATGTATAAAAGGCCATTTATTTACCTTTACAACGAGTGCATTTTATTGTTAAAGGAATATTCTTATTTAGGTTATAGATAGCTCGATAAAATGGAAAAAAATATTAGTGATCTCGTTTATTAGCTCCCAAGTACATCTTTAGCTGGTCACCAATACAATACACACAGCAAATCCAAACACATCATAAAACTGATACCTCCAACAATTGCAATTGTTTTATTGAAGCGAGACAGTAACATACATGGTATAGCTTTGTCTCTTTCACACTTGGGTACGTGGAAACCCAGGTGTCTGACAGGCTCCAAACGACCGGAGCTGTCGTTACGGTCGAGTTGGTCGTACTATTGATGTAGCTTGCTATTTTCTTGGAAGTGGTGGAGATGGGAAAATACCTAATGTAAGTTCCCATTGATATAGGAGTTGCGTGGGTTTGATTTCTGCTAGGAACAATAAATAATATTTTTAGTAAGTGTCTGGGAGGTACCTCGTTGGTTGAGTGACTAGTACGAGTGCCGAGCAATGGGTCTCTGATTCGATTCCCGAGTGAAGTAAAATGGTATAGAGTACTTTTTTTAAGAGAGTACTTTTATGAGAGTGCTGATGAAAAAGTTTGTAAATAATTAACATTCAACATATTATGCAGTTCTGTCTACTCCCTTGACAAAATATAAGCCGTAATGTTAAGTCTTAGTAATCAATGCGAAAGTTTATGTCTTTGTGTGTCTGTTTGTTACTCGATAACATCTAAACAGCTGAACAGATCGGGATGAAATTTTGAACAGGGGTAGATTGCGGTATACATACGTTTTCCCCCACGGAAACGCGGGCAGAAGCTAATCTTATCTTATACTATTACCTATGTAAAGCGGAAGAGTTTGTTTTTTTGTTTGTTTGTTTGTTTGAACGCGCTAATCTCCGTAACTACAAGTCTGATTTGAATAATTATTTTTGTGTTGGATAGTGCATTTATCGAGGATAGATAGGATTATAGGCTATAAAACATGACGCTACAACCAATAGGAGATGAGCAGAACGTGTGAAACCGCGCGGAAATAGCTAGTAGATAATAATTTTGTCATTGAGTGTTTTTTTTTTTTGGTTTGATTCTGCGATAAGGAGTCTTTGGTTTGATTCCCGCGTCGAGCAAAGTGGTATTTAGTAGTGTACTTACTTATTTTTCGGTTTTCTGTCAGATATCAATAACTGGTGAACAGTTTGTGGTTAACATACAATATTTGTACATCTGGCTGCCAGCTCTTTCGGTAAAATAAAAGACATGTTAAGTTATAAATCTCTTCATAAAGTAACTGAAATCTGAAATTGAATACGACGCGTTGGCTCGTGTAAATTTATGAAAAGTTATGTAACCGGGATACGAACAGTGTCACATGCAAATACCCTCATGTTATACGGTATTAACATCAGGGGTTTTGGAAACAACTGAGTTGGTATTACGTACGGTAAGTGTCGATTCGTGTGTTGTTGAAAGTGGACTGCCGTTTCGCAATGGATCCATGTACATTTCGAAGATGAAAATCTATGTTAGAGTTATCATTTACTAGTTAGAAGTCTTCGTGAAATTGGAAGGCCTGATTGCCCGTAATCTCCCCAATCCCCGAATCCCCAACAATCCTCAAATTCCTAATCCCCAAAGTGGATAATGCATTTGTAATGCGTTTAACGGGTTACCGGGGCTCTGGCTCGAAGGGCAGGAGTAGGAACGGGGTGGTTTTTAGTCAGTACGAGTCTGACATTCCCTCTCGCCTCACCCAGGCGGGAGAAGCCATTCGATGATGTTTCCCCCCTTAAAAAAAACCGTCGAGCATGCATGAAAAGATTGGTGACTGTTAAAGCGAAATAGGTTTAGGAATCGTAGCAACTGGCGTTCTATAGTCTCTGCCTACCCCCATGAGAGACAGGCGTGAAGTCATTTGTAATGCCTCTGGTTTTTCAGGTGTCCAATACTCGACCTATGATATTGTACATATAACTGTTTATTTTAATTTCAATGTTTTAATACTCGTTTTTTTTTGTTTACAGGTAAGATTTTTTGTACAGAAACTAAGCTAACTATAGTTCTGGAGGTAAGTACATAAATAAATAATGAGGGTAAAGAGGAATACTAAAACCTACCACTCCTCTCCTGCATGTCATATGCCCCGAATAAAGGACTAACACATTTGTCAGAGACCTGGCAGCAGCCCTCTGATAGACCTGGACGTTTTAAACTACGAGGAACAGCGATGATGACGGAGTATGAAAAATAAAAATCTATTTAGTCCGTCAGTTAGGTAATGAAAAAATATAAAAATAACGGATTATTACTTTACTCAATGTAAATGTACTGAGAAAAGCTCTACTAGTTTCGAGTCACAGAGGGGAGTCTTCCTCGTGAAAAGCGTGCTCGAAACTACTAGAGATTTTCTCAGTATACTTAGGCGAGTGAGTACTTAAACTGTTATTTATAGTTATTTCAATAAAAATTGTTATTATAAAAACAGGCTGAAATAAATAAAACTAGTCTTCCAATAAACGTTTTGTAGCTTTTATTGTTTATGAGAGAACAGAGAAATGAACAAATAACTACGTCTTTATTACTAGAGAGTGGACGACAAACAGACAAATACTCTTATTTGGTTTTTAATACAATTTTAATTGGAAAACGTGTTTCTGTAGCAGTCAGTGAAATTGCTTTATCTTAGTACCTATTGATTGTGAGTCGACTTAATATTTCTGTGGTCGACTCTAAATGATCTCGACTACAAGAAACTTGAAGAATTTTTTTATTTATTCGTTATCTATGGAATGTTAAAATTTTAAAACTGTACCTAGGTACTTTATTCTTGAGGTTATAATTTCCATTTTGCACTGTAAGTAAAAATGCATAGGTCTATCACAAAAATGAGTACTTATTCTAGTTTGGTAGGTAATTTAAACTTATGGTGATAAACGAATTAAGAGAAAACAAAATAATATTTTTTTTTTAAGAAATGATTAAATTCAAATGTCACACTTATATCCGAATTTCGTACAACAAAAAAACGACTGCTTCAGCAAAAACATATTCAGAAGGAAATCAAACTAAGAAATTAGAGTTCCCTAAGTAGCCAAAACAAATCCGTGCAACGATCAATCACGTAAGAAACAAAAATGGCGGCGCAGCAAAAAAAGTTTCGTACGCAGCAACACATCAAGTTAAACATAACCAGGTTATCATGGACTAGCTTTTTATTATCTTTCCTTACGTTCAACGGTCAGTTTATACTGGTTATTCATAGTTTGTAGGCACGTCAAAAGTTCGAATATCGAACGCACACTCCGAGCCGACCAATCCCGTGGGATCATTTCATTAGTGGAATATTTAAATATCAAAAGAATACATTTCGGCTTGATTCACCTCCGCATTCATTATGGATACCGTTTTTATTATTTTTTTTATTACTATCTCTTTCAATGGTTCTGACTGTCTCTGTTTTTTAGTTTTTTTTTACTTTACTTGTGTCATTTTTGTTTATGGATTTTTGTATTGTGCTGAGTACTTCTTGGTTAGGCGCGGAGTACTCTTAATCTTAAGTGGCCGTTTGTGCTTGATCAAAACTACCTTTTGCCCGCAACTTCACTCGCTTTTCCAGACCATAATCTATCCCTGATCCAAATTTCATCCCAATCCCTTCAGCTATTATAATATGACTGAGTAAACACCATACACACACAAACAAACTTCCGTATTTATTATATTGTACTACAATAAATGCATAATTATGATGATATAAAAAGGATCGTAGGTAGTAGAATGCTCCGTAATTTCTACCTACCCCAATAAGAACTCAAATATGTCCATCTGAAATTACTCAAATAGTAATGGTTACACCGTAAAATAATACACGATTTAAAGATTTTTACGTAGGTATTATATTTAGGTAGATCTATGCCATCAAGTTTTTACCTACATAGGTACCAAAAGAACTCAAAATATAGCTTCAACCGCGTCGATATATCTATGCGCAATAATCTCAAAAACTACTAAACTGATTTAAAGGCAGTGTTCGAAGCCTACCAACGGCAAGTACCAACGTGACTTTGTCCGAGTTATATGGAAATAAACGGTGAAGGAAAACATCTTGAGGTACCCTGGGCTCATTTCTAATTAACATAACATAACATCGCGCCTTTTATCCCTGAAGGGGTAGGCAGAGGTGCACATTACGGCACTTAATGCCACTGGACGATGTAACACCTACTTTTCACCATTTATGTTATGAGTCCCATGTAGTAGGGGGTGAGCCTATTGCCATATACCGAGCACAATTCCAGACTCCGTGCTACTACTGAGATTTTTTTAAAAACCCAGTAGTACTTTGC